GTAAATAGTTTTTTGTGAAAGTGGGCTTTGGAAAAGTGAGAATCAACGGTGGGTTTGGGCCCTATAGCTTAGTGGTTAAGCTGCCAAACCCTCACAGACTAGGTTGATAGTTCAAGTCAGGCTGGAGGCAAAATCTTAGGATTTTTAGCTTCTGTAACCTAATAGGGGGCCATAATTAAATACGGAGCCCTGTAGTTAAGTCCAAGTACAAGTACGAAACTGGAAAAGGAAATTCTCAGAAGGAGGTCCAATTGTGGAGTGGTGGTACTACGTATAACAGGTCATGGAAGGTTCTGTTACATGAAAGGTTGCGCATGTTAGTCCTCGATTAGAGGTGACTGGAGCAGCACCAACATCCCCAGCGGTTGAGATACTTGATTGGGAGAGTGATACGACAGTAATAAAACTGGAGTAGTGAGAAAAGTGGTGAACACGAGGATGACTTGTGGTAAAGAATTGGTCCATTCAGAGTTCGGAAGCACCTCTGGCTCCAAGCCACTTGGCCTATTAAAGAAAAAACCTGTGAGAACAGAGCGAGAAGGCTGAAACTCAGGGTACATAGTAAAAACTTGAAATAGCTGGATTCACCAGGCTGGTAGTACAATTGTACAAATCAGGCTTGTATACCAGAAATTGATAAGGAATACCAAATACTGAGATTGGAAATATTATAAACCGCAAGTCGCAACTAGATCTAGACCCCTAGAGCTTTGTAACCTAAAATGTCAAAGCACCAGAACACTATAGCTCAAACTATGGAAGAGAAGTAATACAAAACCCACAATCTGGAAGTTATAAGGTAACCTATAATGCAATACGGTGAGCCTGCACCAACACACGGAAGTACCTACCTATAAAAGTAATAGGAATCAGCAGCATACTAACTAAATTAGGCATTAATTATGAGGCTTAACCTGGGCCAGCATGAGTTCCTCTTCGTGATACTACCTGGGCAGACTAGCTGAAGATAACCAAGATTGGAAGTAGCCCTTGAGGCTACGAGGCCATATCCTAGAAGGGACTACCAAATTTAAGAGCTTAGGTATAAGTGATATGAGAGATGTGGGAAATGACGTCATAAGGAAGTGTACTAAAATAGAACTAGTGAAGGGTAAAAAAATACTGGGTGAGTGCTATCCATAAGGACGTACCACTTCGGTAGGTTTGGATCGCAAATAATGGATCAGTGGCCAGATAGCAGATGGGGACACCTATTGTACAAGTGATGGTTTGGCCAGAGCATAGATAACCAATAGGTTCCGGGTCTGAGCTTGGTGTACTTGATATATATAAATACGAAAATATAGTAATATATGTATGAAAGTATTAACAATAAATAAAGTTATCAAAAAATAATTAACCAACTCTTTCTGACGATCCTCTGGACAACAACAACAAAAAACTGAACTACAGAAAAACGATATAGGAACATCCAAGACATAAACTTCTCAGTCCTACCTTAGAGTAAAGCAGTTGTCGACGAAGTCTGAAGATGTAAAACACCAAGGAGCGGACGCCTTTTGGATGGTTTTTCTTGGGGTCAAACCTTTCCCTTTTTGTGTGGACTTCTAAGTTATTCGGCATCCAAACTAGAAGAGTATTTTGGAAACTGTTTTTACCTTTGTGCAGGTTGTTGTCAACAAAGTTCAAGAGACGTGATATACTGAGGAGCGGGTGTAACTTGGACGGTTTTTCTTGGGGTCAAGTTTTTTTTTTGCTAATTTATCGAACGGACTCCCTAAGTTATTTGGCCTCCAAACCAAAAGGGCTATTCTGG